GATATTTTCTTCGGCCCTTCTCAAAGACGTGAATATAGTCTCCGCTCGAATAATATAATCAGTAACACAGTCTCGTTGCTTGCTTTGTGGAGAGAAGAGAGTTCACAGTACAGGCTCACGACTCGTGGTTTGTCCTTTCCTGCGTAGTGCTCTCGGAGTATTGCCAACGCTTTTCTTCCATCTCGTTTTGCGTCTCTCATTATGAGTGATAAACTCTTATTATCTAGACACTGCACTAATTCAGCATATGCTTCTGCATTCTTTGTTGCGTCTTCTTCAAGTGCTTGTTCGTTGTTGTAGTCTATCGCTGGCTCTTCCAGGATAACTTCACTGAGGCCGCGGAGTTCCATGTGCGCCAAAAACCTCGTCTCCCATAACTCAAAGTTTTTCTCGTCACCGTCGAATAACAACTTAAACCACCTTTGGCCTCCTTGACTGGGCCCATAACCTGTTGCGTGAGACATTATATTCAGCAGAAGTCTCCACGTTTGCAGTCAACCAAAGTAGTTTGTAAGTATGCTACGGACAGAAAAACACACACGACCACATCGCTCAGAGTTTGGCCTGGAGTACGGGCCGTTTATTGAATCTGCGCATGCTCATTAGCATGACCACGTTTATTTCACTCAGGCACATTCTGATGATGTCATACACATGAACTGTTAAACATGACTTTGTTCTTATACAAATATGCTTAACAACATGACGTCACGTGACGTGACGTCATGTTGTTAAGCATATTTGAGAGAGGGTTTGGGGTTTAGAGACGTGACTCACGTCTCTAAACCCCAAACCCTCTCCCGTGCAGAGTCCTCTCGCCGGGTGCGGTGGCGCGCGCCTGTAATCCCAGTTACCGGGAGGCTGAGGCTGGAGGAGCGTTTGAGCTCAGGAGCTCTGAGCTGCAGGGACTATGTCGAACGGGTGTCCGCACTAAGTTCGGTATCGATATGGTGCTCCTGGGGGAGCCCGGGACCACCAGGTCGTCTAAGGAGGGGGGCACCGGCCCAGGTCGGACACGGAGCAGGTCAAATCCCCCGTGCCTCTCAGTAGTGGGATCGCGCCGGTGAATAGACGCTGTAGTGAAGCCTGAGCAATACAGCGGGACCCAGTCTTTATACACTCTGTATACTCTGAACACACACCTGGGACAACACACACACTCAACAACAACGTGTTTACATGTTACAGCAGCTTCATCTCTCTACATTTATTTGGTTCTTCACATGGAAACCTTCACAAACCACTTCTGTGTGTTTGTCCTGAGCGCCTCCTCCTGGAGGAGAGCAGCAACAGCTGCTTCCAAAATCACTTCCCACATGAAGAGTCCTGCACGTTATACTACAAGATTTATTTTTAAAAGTATTATGCCTTTGCATAATTTTGTCTTGTGGAGAATGTTATATATTGTTTTCTGATGCCAAAATCAATTAGACTACAAGAATATTCCCCAAACATTTGAGAATAAATGGGAAAAGTCGTAAATTCAGTTTCAAATGACACATTCACGTAAAATAGAAAAAAATAACATTTAAATCAAATTAAATATGTGCCCTTTTTGACCAGTTTTACTGCTGTGTTGAATCATTCACATGATATGGAAGCTTTTTTTTTAAATCGGAATAAATGCTACATTTTCAGTAAAATATTCCTGAAATAGTATAAACCACTAAATCTTCTTCTTCTCTCATGAATTGTTTGTGAGCATACAGCCATCAACATGAGCCTCCATCATCTGCTGAACTTCATCCAAGAGATCTTCTTGTTCCCACAATGCTTTGCAGTTAAAGTTATTACTCTGATGTACAACAGTAAGACATATGTATTGTCTCAGTGTCTCTCAATATTCAAAGATTCAAAGGTTGTATTGTCATATGTACATAAGCTACAGTGTAGAAATGGCCATTCAATTAACAGACTTCCAGATCTACATGCAGCTGATCCAGAGCCGAGCATCAGAGACCTTTATTCCTCCTCCTCATCCTCCTCATCCTCCACCTTCAGCACCAACTCCTGCTCTTCTTAAAGCTCAATAAAGTCCATCAATCTCTACAGTCATCAGACCTTTGAATCCACAAAAAGAAACCAAAGTATAGATATTTGAATAGTTCTCATGTTTATTGTATTTCTATTGCAGATAGCCAGCAGCAATGCATTGTTATTAGTATCACTGAGTAATTGTAGAAATGATTGTGATGGATATGTTTAAACTCATAAGGACACATGCACACTAAAACAACACACTCATATTCTTGTATAGCTAATATTACAAATGTCAAGTTATTCAGACTTAGAAATATAAATAATCAGCTTTAAAGGTATAGAGCCAGTCCTCAGACTTCATGAGAAGTGAATGAGTCTTTCTAATATAAAACATTTAAACCTATAAATGTTTTTACTGATAAAAACTGAAAAGGACTGGAAAAGACTTATGACAATAAAACGAAATACTTTTAGGCATAAACTACTTTTCTAATTGTAAATGTTCTCAAATGAAACTTCCCAAGAACTTAAGCAATACAAATCATCAGATGAATTGATAACCAAGTTGGAAACTGAAGAAGAGAGGAAGAATATCATTGTGTATGAATCATGGATGTATAATAAGAACGGTATGAATGCAAAACAAGCTATGACGTGACGTCACGTCTCTAAACCCCAAAGCCTCTCCCGTGCAGAGTCCTCTCGCCGGGTGCGGTGGCGCGCGCCTGTAATCCCAGTTACCGGGAGGCTGAGGCTGGAGGAGCGTTTGAGCTCAGGAGCTCTGAGCTGCAGGGACTATGTCGAACGGGTGTCCGCACTAAGTTCGGTATCGATATGGTGCTCCTGGTGGAGCCCGGGACCACCAGGTCGTCTAAGGAGGGGGGCACCGGCCCAGGTCGGACACGGAGCAGGTCAAATCCCCCGTGCCGCTCAGTAGTGGGATCGCGCCTGTGAATAGACGCTGTAGTGAAGCCTGAGCAATACAGCGGGACCCAGTCTTTATACACTCTGTATACTCTGAACACACACCTGGGACAACACACACACTCAACAACAATGTGTTTACATGTTACAGCAGCTTCATCTCTCTACATTTATTTGGTTCTTCACATGGAAACCATCACAAACCACTTCTGTGTGTTTGTCCTGCATCGCCTAGGAGAGCAGCAACAGCTGCTTCCAAAATCACTTCACACATTCATTTTGTCCACCGACATAATACAAAAGCACCTCACTCTCAAGAGATCCTCACGCGCTATGAGAATCTCCCACAATCCATTGCCGTAACAAAGCTACAGTAATGCAGGCACACGTTTGTAACACCAGATGGCGTAATTCTCCAATTTAACCAGGATTTTACACCAACCTTTATAACTCTGTTACACCAGCAGCTATCTGTTTTTAAAAGTTTCAACACAAGTCATAAAACCTATGCGATGGATAAATTCAAATAAACTAATGTAGACCATAAAAGTACTCATATTCTGTTACACAGATAAAGATAGTTAATGGCATCATTTTTATAAACTTGTTTCAGATGAGTCACACTTGATTATTTTACTAATTTCAATATAGGCAATCAAGTGATAATGATAATTGATGAATCCACTCCTGTTTATTGAAGAATATGTCAAAAATAAATTTGCTGGAAGGTAATGAGCCCTCTATTTTACATTACAGGCAACATACTTATTAGTATGTATTTAAATATCAAATTTGCCATCAACATTTAGTTGATAGAACGTTCTGATTATGTATGCTGGACTTTCAAAATGTGCTGGCACACACCTTGGCACATGTTTCCTGATGTTAGTTTATCCACTCTTCTCATTATTATAGAGAATAATGAATACATACAATCCCAATTCCACATACAATTTACCATAAAGACCCCACCTTGCAATTGAGCTGGTGTCACACAGCTCCAGGGCTCTACCTGCTGGTGCGAAGAGTGAAACATACTATTGTGTGAAAAGCTCCGGGACGACTGCATCATGTTACGCAGGCGAAATGAAATCAAGGAATGTGACATATTTATTTTAATTTGATTTTTTTAGAAATGACATTGGTGTTTGTTTGTATCTCTCCAACTCAAATGTATTCAGCATGTTCACTGTAGTGATGTGTCGGTCGCGAACGAGCCGATTCTTTTGAACGGCTCTTTGGTACGAACGAGGGGAACCGAGTCCTACTTGGTGAGAGCCGTTCTTGTTATCGTTCAATCGTTGGTCCGCACTCACTGCCTGCCAAAATCCACTCACCTTTTAAAAAGCTTGATTTTGTTCCCCAAACGTATTCTGTGAAGACCCGCCCCTACTCTGATTGGTAGGTTTCAGCACGAGGAGTGAGATGGGGTTGGTCTTAACGGAGAGAGAAGTCATAACAAGTGGTACAGGACAGGTAGACGACGTGTTTTTCGATGGAAAATGAGCCAAACGCGAAAACGCAGCAGCATTTGGATTCACTTCAACCAAAACCCAGGCAGTGATAAAGCGCACCATTTGTAAAGGCAAAATATCCTTTAAAGCAGGATCAACAAATAATCTCCATCGCCACTTAAAAACACACTATCTAATATTAAGAGTTGCGTGAATTTCATTCAAGGCAAGGCAACTTTATTTACTTAACACATACAGAGGGTAAATTCAAAGTACATTCACTGACATGAATGACATGGATATGGCGCCACCTTGTGTCATGTTTACAATGCCGATTATTGACATTAGGTCTGGCAATACAGTCAATCATTATCCTGGTGATTATTTCGCAGATAAACCTAGTAACCCCGCCCCCTTTTAAAAAACGGCTCTTTTGAACGGCTCTTTTGAACGGCTCTTTGAAAGGAACGGAGCCATAAGATCCGGCTCCCTTCAAAGAGCCATAATTCCCATCACTAGTTCACTGCACTGCTCCAGTGTTTTACAGCCGTGCGTAAAATGGTTCGCTCCGCCTGCCACCTGCCTATAAACTCCTGCAAAGCTCTTTAAGCCCCTCAGTTTTATCTCTGACTCTTAGCAAACATGAACCACGGAGACCGCTACACCTCGTCCTCCTACCGGAAGATTTTCGGGGATTCCCCTAAATTCCCCGTCTCCTCCTCTCGCATGGGCAGCGCCTCCTCCCGGAGCACCCCGGGGCTCCGCTCCATGGCCGGGCCCCGCAACAGTCTCCCCTCCTCCATGAGCCTGTACAGGCGGGTCGGCCGCTCCTACTCTCCGGTGCCCGCAGACTCCCTGGATTTGACGCAGACTTCTGTGGTCAACAATGAATTCAAAATGATTAGAACCAACGAGAAGGAGCAGTTGCAGGTAAGGGACGGATTTGAAGAAAATATAAAATATTTGCATGTTGGGTTACTACAGAAAGATGTATTTAAAACTCTTTTCGATTGGTTGTGTTGTGGTCTGTTTTATTTAAAATCTATAATTAATATGCTATCAGATCACCAATCAATCAAACTAAGAAAAACAAACCAACAGAAGTGTGGAAAAGGCAAAATCATATTAAACATTTTTATAATTTGAGAACAGTAAAGTGATAAAAACATAATACAATTAAATTAAAAGCTATATGAAAACAGTAATATTAGTATAACAGTGCATGCGAACAAACTAGCTTTTTTGTTTTGTTTTTAAACCTGCATCCATAATATTTAAAGCAGCACCAATCCGTTTTTTATGAATAAATTGATCAATTTATTGAAACCACAGGGAGTTCCCATCATAATCATCAGTTTCCCTCAGCTATCAAATTGAAATAACATCAATAGCCGCGTTCACACCAAGTACTTTCCTGTACTTAGTTCCGGCACTAAGAGCGGCGCTTTTAACCCCAGGGCACTTAGTACAGATCGCGTTCACACCGGAGTACTTTTCCCTGAGGGAAGATTACGCAAATGAGCCGCTGACGTCACTTCTTCTTCTTCTGCTTTGGCTTTACTGGCAGGCCACAAACCACTTCACGGCGAGTACAGTAGGTGGCGGTATGCACCTTAAAGTTGTTTGCAATCCGCTGCAAAACAAGAGAAGAAGAAGAAAAACTTCCCGCGTATACTGCGACGCCCACCCACTCGCTGTACATTAGGCGTCTGTTGCAAGCCCCCAGGAAGTGCGCCGGACTCTGATGAAAATATTCGTGCTGGCCAAACGGCAGTACTACACTTCCTTTTGGTTGCCAGGCCCGGAAACACTTTTTCCCATTGACTTACATGGGGAAAGAGTGGTCTGTAAATCGTTGGATACTTTTTTTTAAACTAAATAAACTACCCAGTATGAACACTTGTATAGCCCTTATTAAAAACATACGTTCCTCAAGTTGTAAAAATGTGCTAATAACGTTATTCTGAGAGTTATATCCCTCTGCATTATGAACGCGCATCTAACCCACGGGACCGCGCCGCCCGGCACGTTCATGTTACGTGTTCAGCACTAGTACATGCGTTTATCTTTACCCATGGATGTACAATAAGAACGGACCCGTCCCATATCGCCTTACTGCCAGCCCACGGAGCTGTAATAATGGATATATTGCACATGTTTGCTGTAATTCATCATTTGTAAAATATTATACTACATGGGCTGTATGATTAAATCTTGTACCGTAAATGTTGTATTAAATAAAGTTAATATTACCGACGTAGATTAACGTCACTGTAGCTTCTTATTGCACTAAGAAGCTTATTGCACTGTATATATATACATATATATATATATATATATATATACAGTGCAATAATTCTTTCATGCTAAATGAAGCTCTGTTGCTTGGATATCACTAGATCCTGTTACAGCGTAATATAAAAGTACATAATTGATTGATGTGTAAATTAGTGTGAACGCTTTCACACCGGAGTACTTTTCCCAGGAATAGTTCCGATAGTTCCTGGGATTTTGCGTTCACACCAAAAATAACCTTTTTTTAGTCCCTGCTAGAGAGCAGGGACTTTCCTAGGGAAAAAAAGGTTCCAATTTCTGATTGGCTGGGCGAATTGCAAACCACACCCCGTAAAACTCAGAAAAGTTTTTGTGAAGCCGCCATTATCTTTGCTCGCATCAGCATTATTAGCATTAGCATTAGCATTAGCCCAGCGCACAAACGCAGAGAGACTAACTTATGGCAACACAAAATAAAACATGGGAGCGGTGGAGATGAGGAGGTGTCGGCGCTTCTGGCGATTTACTCGGAAGGCTTCAGTAGAAGCTGCTGGGAAGCCAGTCCCCAACTCCGGGGACTTCCGGCCGGGGACTTCGGGTGGCAGTATACGCCGTGAAGTTGTTTGCGGCCTGCTAGTAAACCCAAAGCAGAAGAAGAAGAAGAAGTGACGTCAGCGGCTCCCTCAGGAACTTATTCCGGTGTGAATGCGATTTACTAGATAGTTCCAGGAAATAAAAGTTCCGGGAACTATTCCTGGGAAAAGTACTTGGTGTGAAAGCGCCTAATGAGTTGTGTTTAGAGACTGTTCTGCTCCCCCCTAGTGGTGGAACAGATGCTACTATAAGCTTAAAGGGGACCTATCATGCAAAATGCACTTTTTGATGTCTTTTATACATAAATATGTGTCCCCGGTGTGTCGAGGAAATCACGCAGCATCAGAAAATAAAACCCTCTCTCTTTTCCTCCGTACCCAAATCTCTAAAAAACAGAGCTGATCCAGATTTGCGTCCGATACGACGTAATATTGGAAATGTAGCCTGGCTTTACACCCACGGCCCTATCAGAAACGTTGCTATCAGAAATAATGCCCAACTGTTTGGGACGTAATATGGTCGGTGCATGTGTACATTAGCATCACTAACACTCAGAGCTAACCTGTACTGCACAGAGCATGTGTGTGAAGAAGCAGGAAATAAAAAGGAACTCACCTTGTATAACACCGGCAAGAGAGAAAGCCTTTGAGCTCCATACTGTTTCAGAAATAATCCTTGATAATCCATGATATGGCGTTTCATCACCGCAGTATCTGCTGGTAGAATCTCCCGCATGAGCTCAGCCCCCTCCTTTTTCTTTTCTTTATCATTTTTTCTTTTCTTTTTTTAAAGCTTTATACTCCAAATCAGCACTTTTGAAACAGGAAGTGAAATAGAGCGATATGAGGCATGGCTAGAATGGGTGATCTGTTTGGTATTTTTCAAAATAAGTGAAGTTGTAAATTGGATGGTAGATGAGACGAGATAAACTTATGGAGGATTTTGTGTGATGATAAGCATTTATCCTGTCTCCAGGGTCTCAATGACCGCTTCGCCATGTTCATCGATAAAGTGCGGCACCTGGAGCAGCAGAACAAGGTGCTGGAGATGGAGCTGGTGACGCTGAGGCAGAAACAGGACGAGCCGTCCCGCGTCGCCCTCCTCTACCAGCAGGAGCTCAGGGACCTGCGCTCACAGGTGGAGGAGCTGAGCCGGGACAAGAACCGCATCCTGATCGATAGGAACAACATGGAGGATGAGCTGCAGGTAAAACCAATGTGTAAAAAAGGATAAAAAGCTGACGATAATAAGAGGCAAAATAATTAATAAAGTTTTTTTGATGCAGTTCTGCTGCCGCTAACGTTTGCTCAACTTGTTTTTGTGATAACGTAAAGGTCCCCTATTATACTGTTTTTGAACCATATATTACAGGTCTACGATATATACAAAACATGTATCTGAAGTGTTTGGTTTGAAATACCAAACAGATCATGAAATATAGCATCCCATACCCGGTTTCAGCCCTGTTTCAAATGTGCTGATTCTGTGTCTGTAGCTTTAAATGCTAATGAGCTGCTGCTGGCCACACCCCTCTGATAAGTGATTCATCTTGGTTGGTTATTGGATAATGGTTGCACAACCCCAAAAAAACAGTGACATCACAAAGTGGGCAAAATCTGATAAGCTCATTTTTAGACAGGTTTTTATAAAGATGTATCAAGACAAAAAGAGAGAGAATATTTTTTCCTGAAACTTTCCAAATCTGTTAACACAGAGGACACATGTTTATGTATAAAATACATGAACAAGTGGATTTTGCATAATAGGTGACCTTTAAGAAATACTTTGGGTTAAAAACTACAGTTGAAAACAACAAAGATCTGAAAAGGCATAAAAAAGGCCACATTTACACGAGAACGAAACGGCTTGTATCTGCATAGTTTCTCTTGCGTATAGCCCTATTATTTACACGAGGCCGTAACAAACGGACCCCACAAACGATAACGGGTCCCAAGGTGGATAGATTTGCAAACGAAACGCTCTGGGGGGGTCAAACGAGTCCGTGTAATCGCCTCTATACGAATATTTCCTGAAAAAATAACGATAGCCCCACCTCTCCCCGCCTCTGCTGCTCACTGCTGTAGCATGGCCAGTAGCTACTGTCAGTAGCTACTGCTAGTGCTACTGCTACTGACCATGCTACAGATGTTAGTACAACATCTACAGCTCGACCATGCTACAGATGTTAGTGCAAAATCTACAGCTCCTCTACCACAACCATCAGCAACAAGTGGACATGGAGAATTCAATTAACTACTACATGTTGCTAAATCCACCGCGGGGCATAAACAGAAGGGTAGCCATGGCAACATTGCTGCGGGGCTGCTCCGGGGTCTTCTTCGCTGCTTTTGGTGTATTTTGTGGCGGAAGTTACAGCGCCACTTACAGTCCCGGCATATGTACTACAGCGTGTCCAGCACTTTCGAGCGGTCTCGTGTGGAAGTACAGCGCCACTTACAGTCCCGGCATATGTACTACAGCGTTTCCAGCGGTCTCGTTTGAACAGACACGTTAAATGAAACAAATGCATGTGAACGGAAGACTTTTTTGAAAGCGCATACTGTGCATAAACGCAAACGTTCCCGTGTAAAAGCAGCCTAAATGAAACTGAGCGTAACCTTGATTCCAATGAAACATTTCTCTAGGTTTGAATGGATATTTGCGAGCATGTAAGAATACAGCCTAACAACAAAGGTCTGGTTGTTTTAGAAATTGTATAATGTTACATATTGTATCTGCAACTCCCCTCTCATGTCTCATTTCAGAAGCTCAGTGTGAAGTACGAGGAGGAGGTGAGGGCGCGGGACGAAGCTGAGCAGAACTTGAGGTCCTTCAGGAAGGACGTGGATGACGCCACAGCCGTTCGCCTGGATCTGGAGCGCCGTCTGGAATTGATGATGGATGAAATCAACTTCCTGAGGACTGTGCATGACGAGGAAATCCAGGAGCTGAGCACCATGATGGAGAAGCAGCAGGTCTCCGTGGAGCTCGAGCTCGCCAATCCAGACCTCACCTCGGCTCTGAAGGAGATCCGCAACCAGTACGAGTCCATCGCCTCCAAGAACCTGCAGTCGGCCGAGGAATGGTACAAGAGCAAGTTCGCCAGCCTCAGTGAGCAGGCCTCCAGGACCAACGAGGCCATGAGGGCCAGCAGGGAGGAGGTCAGTGAGTTCAGGAGACAGCTGCAGTCCAAGACCATCGAGATCGAGAGCCTGAGGGGCGCCAACGAGTCTCTGGAGAGGCAGATCACAGAGATGGAGGTGGGAAACAACGCTGAAGTCTCAGCCCTGCAGGTAAGCAACAAAATCATCACTGTGGTCTCCTTAAAGGGGGCTATTCAATACATTCAAGCAAATGTATTTCTCATTATATCTATGCAAGCAGTTTGGAGTTTATTCGTCTGGTTTTCTGAAATTGCCCAAAACATTGGAGGTGAACAGAGTTTTATGTAGGTGCTTACAAAAGATTATCTTTTTTTTTTTTATCTATCTATTATTTTTTTCCATAAAAAGTTTCTCTGATACTGTTGAAAATCCACAGAACAAACAACTATGGGTGTTAATAGAAACTATTAATTTGATAATTCAATGGGAAAATACAACAAAAACTAACACTTAAAAAAAAAAGATTTGATTGGCTATAGTAACTCTTACTATATTATTCTGTATATTTGTCTTAAACGTGTGTATTAGAATAAAATGAAATCAGGATTTTATGTACAAAAACACAAATGTTGTGTCAGAATTTATGCCATAGACATACACTTATATGTAAAAGATAAAACTAGTGAGGCGTGTGGCGCAGTGGGCTAGTGCGTTGGTGTTCGGATCAGGGGAGCATAGGTTCAAACCCCACTGCAGTCAGCATGTCGTTGTGTCCCTGGGCAAGACACTTCACCCCAAATTGCTCCTGTGGGGATTGTCCACAGTATTGAGTATGTAAGTCGCTTTGGATAAAAGCGTCTAACAAGTAACATGTAATGTAATGTAACTATCTACAAATACCTATAAATTGTCCACATGAATGCACATGGTAGTGTTTTCAGTAATCCTGTAGACAGATAAACTAAAATAATGAGTGTAACAATTTAGATATATCAGATTGAGGCAAAAACCACTTCCACGCAGTTTTTAAGAAGGCTCTAAGACAGTAAAGTAAAGCTGCAGGGCGACAACTCAAATACAACACTTTAGGCATCAACTTTGTAAATGATCAGAGACCCAGTCAGTCAGCTCTAGCACTGTTGGCACTGTCTACGTGATAGAGGTCATATCTGTTTACAACTCTGTGAAATAAGAGGATTTGAGAGGAGCAGATCTCATGGTCAAGTTCCTCATGAATTATGTCACAGCTTAAGTAAAGCTGTTAGCTAACGTGCACAGCAGGAAGGTCCATCCTTTGTATGTTTAAGGAATTCAGCTCTCAACTATAACTCTTCCGCCACCCTTTTAGGACTCTGTGCCAAAATGTTGTTTCTAACAGTACATTTATCCAAACAAAATGCGGATATTTAAATATGAGTCTCTTAAAGTGTCCATGAGGGGGAATCAGTGTTTAAAAAAATCCAATATCCATCTACAACCACCTGGCGCTTAAAGGGGACCTATGATGCAAAATGCACTTTTTGACGTCTTTTATACATAAATATGTGTCCCCGGTGTGTCAGGGAACTCACGCAGCGTCAGAAAATAAAAACCTCTCTCTATTCCTCCGTACCCAAATCTCTAAAAACGGGGGTACAACGGAGCTGATCCAGATTTGCGTCCGATATGACGTAATATCGGAAATGTGGACCCACGGCACTATCAGAAAGTTGCTATCAGAAACAATGCCCGACTGTTTTGGACGTAATAGGGTCGGTGTTTACATTAGCATCGCTAACACTCAGAGCTAACCTGTACTGCACAGAGCATGTGTGTGAAGAAGCTGGATATAAAAAGGAACTCACCTTGTGGTATAACTGGCAAGAGAGAAAGCCTTTGAGCTCCATATTGTTTCAGAAATAATCCTTGATATTCCATGATATGGCGTTTCATTACGACAGTATTTAGTTTAGACAGTAGCTGCCGGGTCCCGCATGAACTCAGCCCCCTCCCTTTTTATTTTTTTAAAGCTTTATACCCCAAATCAGCACTTTTGAAACAGGAATATGAGGCATGGCTAGAATGGGTGATCTGTTTGATATTTTGAGCAAAACACTTCATAGACATGTTTTTTTATATATCTGAGACCTATGCTATTGCCTAAAAATAGCATGATAGGTGACCTTAAAACTGAAAGAAGTCACTGTTACTAGACAGGAAATGGTCCATAACTATCCTGAAACCACACCATCACAACTTGGTTCATTGTACAAATGAATAAGATGTTATGTGTTAAGATGAGCTTCAGAATTTCTGGTAGGTTGGTTTAATTTATTTTAGACAGAGCCAGGAGAAATGTTTCCCGCTGTTTCCAGTATGTGTGCTAAGCTAGGCTAACTCGTTGCTAGTTGTAGCTTCATGGAGATGTATCAATGCTCTCTTCAACTCAGTGAATACATTTTTTTCCTGAAATGTCAAACAATTAACGCAAACGGCAGAATCAGCCAATGTACACACAAAAAATTCCACAAAAATAACAAATAAAATAATTGTGGTTCGTTGAGCAACTTGTTAGCAGTCGATTACAGCGCGTGCTATATTAGCGAAACATCCCAGATTTGATTTGTCAAAATGTCTCTCTAATAATAAGTTAGTAAGGCTCTGGCTCTTGCTAAACTGGACAATTAAGGTTGAAGGTCTAAAGTCAGACCATGACCCTTCGCGTGCGGAAGTCTGTGACAGTGAGACTGACTGGAAGCGCTCTTAGTGAATTGACCCTGCGTTTTTATTAGATTACCTGTGACCTGCTAATTCGGATACAGGAAGCCCTAAGAGAACGTACAGCTAAGCCTTAAAGGTTATTGTGCTAAAGGAAGGGCAAACCGTTAAACCCCAGAAAAGCTCATATCATAGAGGATAAAACCCCTACTTGCCAAGTAAATGAATTTAGACACTACTGATAATCTACCTTCTTTCATTTATGAAACAGGACACTATTGGCCAGCTGGACACTGAGCTGAGGAACATGAAGGGGGAGATGGCGCTGCACCTGAGGGAGTATCAGGACCTGCTCAATGTCAAGATGGCCCTGGACATAGAGATAGCCGCTTACAGGTGCTGACTAAAGGACAACCCCAACAGCAGATCTCTTGACTTGTAGACTCATCAAACATATTTATAAGGTGCTTTAAGTCTGTGTGTCCAGTCTGACATGTGTTTCCTTTGGTCCTATGAGGAAACTGCTGGAGGGGGAGGAGACTCACTTTAACTCAGGGATCTCCTTTGGTGCTGCCAGCTACAGCTACCAGCCTCGAGCCGCAGCCGGCCCCTCCAGGAGCCCGAGGGAGAAGGAGGGGGGGGCCACCAAGGAGAGCTTCAAGGAGAGCAGTGAGGAGAAAGATGAGGCGGACATCAACTCCAACAACTGAAGCGAGACTACCAGGGGAATGTGGAGAAAGGAGATATGTACTTCATATGTAGTTGGTTTAGTCGCTGTATTTGTTTTTCTTAGTTTTTTTGGAACATATCTTTAATATAAATTGTGCATAGATAGATTAGGTATCGTTTACACATACACAGGTTTTACCCCCCAACAATCCAGAACAGCGCATACATGGTGCACAAACATGACGAAACTATGTCATAAAAAAGAAAAGAAAAATAACAAATATGTATTTGTTAAAGCCAACCCTAAGATAAATGTTTGAAATCATAGCTTAAACGTTTTGGGTGATAATGAATTCCTGGTGGTCTCTGTGGCAAAGGAGGTATTTTGCTGACTTTTGCTATAAAATGAGGAGTTTGTCAGTACTACGCGAAGAGTGACAGACTCTTCTACACTAAATAAAGAAAACTAACTTAGAAAAATCAACCATCAATCTTCAGAGAGGGAATGTTATATTGCACTTGGACCCTGACCCAGAATCAGGTCATCTTAAAGTGATTTAACACCAGGTTCTCCACAAACATGCAGTGCGAGATAGGAGAGGCCAAATGAATTAATAAGTGACCAGGTATTGAATGTATTTTCTGGATTCAATTCCATCTTGCTGCTGTAAGATTGACTTAAACCTGTGTGACAGGGGAGGGAAATAAATATTGGTGCTGATGGTGCATTGATGTCAGAGCATAAGCAAACTTAATATTATAAGTTACTTTAGGATGTATGTGGGATGAGAATGTTTTACATTGTGTTTGGTTTTATGACTTTACAAAGTGTAGATCTTCCTCATGGTGTAAAATGTAACCATGTGCAGAATGAAATATCTGTGAAATATATTCAGTATGTTGGTTCAGTTAAAGGTAGGGTAGGTAATTCACTTCAGAAACACTTTGTGTTATATTCCATGGAATGCTCTTAACATCCCGATAGCAATGAATACATTAAATGCTTTGACAATAAATACATTAAAAAAAATGTCATCTGTGGAAGCCGTGGCGCTGTAAAAAGCACGACCAATTATCTGAGCCGGCCCGGGTCAGATAATTGGATGGCCTAGCTACCTGTCAGCCTTCCATCTCGTGCACAAACTTATCTCGTGCCCTCATTGGTCATGTGCACGTTCGTGTGTGTTGGAGGGGCTCTGTAAGGAAGTCTGAAGGAAGGGGCAGATGTTTTCCGGTTGTGTACTTTCAAATTCTAGCGCACTCGAGCTGGTTTCTCCATTCTTACCTACCCTACCTTTAATCTATAGTTTGGATTTACCCACCCACTGGAAAACCACTCACTGTTGTTTCAGTAGCATTCAATAAAATAACATGACTGTCAAATCACGTCTTTGTTTTCATGTGCAAATCAGCGTAATCCCAAATACATTCAAAGCCATCTCCAGGTAGATTTTGACACCAGGGCTATAAAAAAAATAGTATTAACATAATGGTTTTTAATCACCAATATTTTCTGGAATTATTGTATGGTTTTGTTTTGTCAGTTATGGTTCACTTGAATATGACAATTAAGCAGAAAACCATGAGTAAAAACATGTTCTGACATTTCTGCAAGGAAAAAATGTAACTATTTATAATTTATCTAAATTGTTGGCAATTATCTTTCCGTTCCTCAATGTATTTATAAGTCGAATGACTAGCAGCTATACTTTAATGATTGCATACTTTTACAGTTTCTATGACTTCTGTATCAAATTCCTAGGACTTGCAGCACTTTGAGCAGATCACCATCCACCTCTACTAAAGGATAGAAGATCAGAAATAGTTGGCTTTTGAAATGGGGAATTCATTTAGTGTAGCAAGATATTAAACAATGACAGACACTGGTGGGAGAAGAGCATTTACACCTTAGGAGGAAATTAAGCTCAAACCAGGAAACGTGGATGAATCGAGAAACATACCTGCAGTCGAGCAGTCATTTATTAACTCATTCTGACAAAACTGAGTAGGAAAGGCTTTTTGAACAAACCCCATCAGCAGACTATACAAATGCTATTGAATTAAATATGTCAATCAACACAAAGCAAGCTGTAAATAAAATAGACAGTATATAAAGCTCCACACAAAAACTTTTGGTAGTTGAGGTCCTTTTGTTTCAAGCCCTTAAATCACAACAATCAATATGAAACTCCGCTCAGCTCTTGAGATGATAAATAAAGAAAACCACACACACACACACACACACACACACACACACACACACACACACACACACACACACACACACACACACACACCACACACACACACACACAACACACACACACACACACAACAACACCACACACACAACACACACACACACACACAACACACCAACACACACACACACTACACACACACACACACACACACACCACACACACACACACACACACACACACACACACACACACACACACACACACACACACACACACCACACACCACACACACACCACACACACACACACACACACACACACACACACACACACACACACACACACACACACACACACACAGCACCTGGAACGATGCCTTCAAAGACATCTTGGCAGTAAGACAAGGACTCGGGTTTAATTCATTTTGCATGATGGCCCTTCTGTTAATCAAATGTCTGTGCGAAACAAACAGAAACCAGGGCTGTCCTGAATGCCCAGTGATAATATTATTAGAACAATTGAGCGTTGCAGTTTTAAATGTTTAGATCTTTTCATTTCAGACTGTTAACAAATAAAGGAAATCCAAGTGATGAGTTCTTGGACTACGTCCACCTCTCGTGCTCATGGCTGGGAGGGCAGGACCAGGCCAAAATGCAGCACCAACAGACCGTCCTGTAGCAAAATGGAACCACAGAAAGAATCACTTAAAGGTATTCCTGGCCTTTTTCATAATGTAACGTCTTAAAATGTCTTCCTCTTGTGTGTGTTTGTGGGGCTCACCTGCAGTGCCTCTTCACCCACAAAGCTCTGAATGTCCTTGAGGGACTGGAAGTGATCGAGGAGGTGATCTCCACAAACCACGTCCACCTGCAGGACACAGACACATTTAGAGCATAGCTGTAGATATTTGATCAGACACCGTATGCCTCAAGACATTTCTATGTGTATGTGTTTAAATTACTTTGCAGAAAGGTTTCAGGGCATTCAGTCCTACATTCAATTCTGACTTCAGAAATGTGTTGGTTTTGACCAAACTAAACCATCTAATTCTGGGCTTAAACACCAACTCTTAAAGTAAGTTTTCACAACTTTTAGGTTATGTCCAGCTCAAAGATGCTGAGTTACTCCGCTTCACAAATGTCCTTTTTGTTTTTATGTTTGAAGATCATCTGGTTCTTTGTCAGTTGAATTAATAGGAATTGAAGGTAAGCTGATGTGCCCTTTGCTAAAATAGACAGCATACAATCACCGGCAAGTCTTTCTCTGTCCACTCTCGTGTTGTCCAGACATGCCAGGGTGCAGCATTGAGGACAGGAAATCAATGTAAGCTGCTAATCCTCTTCCAAGTGTTACTAAATACTTGATTCACCTACACCTGAACTTGTCTAACCGAGTAAACTAAAATGTCTGTTTCTTTGCATTTGGAGGAAAGGGGAAATGTCTGATTTAATACCTGGACCTTCTTTTACAGCGTGTCCTTGCCTCTTGAGACATACATGTGGTATCACTGCACTTATGAGGTGATTATAATCAGATTGAGCTTGTTCTTCAGGAGTTATTGTTGCCCTTTCGATGTAGAAACCCTGCTGGGTTTTGACCTGAGCAGTTGACCAGTCGCTGTAGCTGTATCCCTGAAGGTTGTATTACAAATGCACAACCACATATCTCCTCCTACTGTTTAACATGGTAACTATGCTGACAAGATGCATGTCTTTCAATAACTAAATGACAAGGTAGACCTCCACTATGTGCCATGCTGCTATTCCAGGGAAAAAATAGCCCCATTAAATATATCACAGAAATTATCTGGAGAGACCCTGTTCAGTTGTTTTGGCTGGCCTGAATTGATCAGTTTAGTATCTACAACATGTTAGATGTCAGTTAGGCATGTGACCAACAAATAACTATCTTCCATGCAATGATGTAAAATGGTTACAATCATCTTTTCAAATACCTTTTAGAATGTGTAAAAATGGTGTTATAACTATTAGAAATTGTAACAGATCAGCTGTGTCACGCACTAGTAATCGGAAATAACACTATTGTTGTGGGTTTACAACAGTTATTGTTAAAGGTAGGGTAGGTAAGTTTGAGAAACCGGCTCGAGATCGCTAGAATTTGAAAATACACAACCGGAGAAAATCTGCCACTTCCTTACAGAGCCCCTCCTCCAACACACACGAACGCGCACATGACCAATGAGGGCACGAGATAAGTTTGTGCCCAGATGGAAGGCTGACAGGGCAGGTAGGCCATCCAGTTATTTAAGCCGGGCCGGCTAAAATGATTGGTCGTGCTTTTTACAGTACTACGGCTTCCACAGATGACATTTTGTAATGGATTTTTTGTCAAAGCACTTAAGATATTCATTGCTATCGGGATGTTAAGAGCATTCTATGGAATATAACAAAAAGTGTATCTCGAGCCGGTTTCTCAAACTTACCTACCCTACCTTTAATATGCATTATATGCCACAGGTGTGTTACTCTTAATCTGTGATCCCTCTCACTTGCATACACCACATGACCCTGTACACGCCTACACTATGCTGTAATGCCAACTGCCTTACTGTCCCAAACTGTCAACTATCAGGATCAGTATGGGTGTGTCACTTGGAGAACTCATTAGCTGTAAGCCTGGCACACTCACCTGGCATGCTGAGCTCAGCTCCATCTTCCTCCTGATGAAGATCTCCACGTGGCGCACAGTGGCCTCCCCGGACACACGGACGTACCGCCTCTCTAACGGCTAAACAGGGACAGGGTGATCAGGGTGGAATGTACTAATTATTTACATATCTTTCTGGTAAACATAAGCAATTATAATACAATAAGAAGTGCTACAAATAGTAAGGGGGGGTGTTACCTTGTAATTAGCGATGCCCTCTTCAGCCCTGAAAACAAAACAGTAGTTAATATATAGTAAGGACAACTTTATGGTAAAAAAAAACAACAAGCAGTCAATTCAAGAGAACGGCCCATCTAGTGGGATGTCTGTGTTACTACACGTACAGGATATTTCATTCACTACGGCCCAATCCCAAACCACGCCCTACACCCTACCCCTACACACTCCCCCTCCGTGACGGAGTGAACTCCGTGGAGTGACACTCGCAGCTCAACGAGGCTCCCTCCTGTCAGATGGAGGGAGTAAATACAGCGGCAAGCTTTGGGACAAACTCCCCTCTCTCCGGCAGAAACAGGAAATGCCGTAACTGTATGTAACGGTTTCAAATCAGCATCTCTTTGACAAAACATTACAATTAATAACTAAATAAAACATCTTTAATTGTGTTTCTAGACTAAATACAGGTATGATCCTAAATACAAAAAATATGAGGTTATCATGAGGTTCTTAACATCGCAGTTTATCAGTGGATGTTTGCTGGAACTACTGACGGACACACACAGCGTTGAGACCGGTCAGGTAGAGACCGGTCTCCAGTCAGCACCGATGCAGACTCGCTGTTTGAGGGCTTGATAACCCACTCCCCCTCCACACCGTTCCACACTCGTTGGTTTGGAACAGCACTTAATGTGGCGGACCCTCCGAGCAAACGGAGGGGTAGTGTGTAGGGGTAGGGTGTAGGGGGCGGTTTGGGATTGGGCCTTCTACAGACTGTGTTGTACCTTTTTCAAACAAGAAGTATTTATTTGTGTCTACAGGCCAAAAGCATTAAATGAATAAATTAAAAATATGTTCTAAATAAATAAGAATGGTAACATTAAAAATAATTGACTATTTCTTTCAACTGAAATTACGTGCTTGTTTTTAAATAGAGAAAGGAAGAAAATATTTAAAAAAACAGGACCAGTAGTGTATTAGTTCAAATGTGATTATACCAAAACCCAATAATGCCATTTGGACCTGAGAATTGCAGGATTCTTCACTGGTATTGTGCATACTGGCTTGTTGGCATGGCTTACAGAAAGCAGTGCCATTGTTGTATTATTAGTACCAACTGTGCTTTTTTATAATGTAAAAAGTCTGCTGTGAAAATGCCTCTTGGTTACACTTGTAAAAACACTGTTACTAGAAAACAGACAACAAAAATAGACCCTGTTTGCAGAACACATTGTTTTTGGCATGTCAACACAATGTTGCAAAAGACAAATGTTCTTCCACTTGACTCTGTATGAATGTCCCAGAGGCAAAGCCTTTTCCCATCAACCTCACACCAGGTGTGGCTAATTAACCAATAAAGGCATCTCACGAACGACTGCAAAGGAAAGTTCTGGAGCACGGTGTAGAAACCCAATGAGAACACGGGAGAGCTCCACTTGATGGCAGCAATGAAGAATTTATTGGAAGTTACGGCCAGAGAATGGACAAAGACATTTGTTGCAGCAACAAAGTGACACAGCTCCTCTTAGACCAATTCTGAAAATCTCTCCCAAAACCCAAGTATTTATCTAGTTCTAGACAAAACTATTCTCAAGGGAAGAGAGAAATTGGCAACCAAAGTCGCATTCCCGAACGCTGACGACGGGAGACAGTAGCACCTCGAGGCCACGTTCCTGAACGCTGAATATAGGAGTAGAGTGATAAACTGGGTAAAAGGCAGAGGCCTAGGAAAATATTTTCCTCAACAACGACATGAAGAATGAAAATATGTTAAAGGTCCCATATCATGCTTTTCAGGTTATTACCCGTCCCCTTGCGTGTTATGTAGCTTTTTCTGCATGTAAACGGTCTGCAAAGTCACAAACCCTCAAAGTACACCCTGTAGCGAGTAAAACTCGAACACAGAAAAGACCGGTTTCTTTTTCCATTTTTTTCTTCCTGAGTGTAGTGACGTGACCATACCCAGGTCCAAATAGACCAATCCGTGGAACTCCTCACACACACACACTCACTCAGCCTGGTCTTTTCTCAGCTGCGGCTCCACGGATTTCTCAGCCTGAACTCAGCCTGAGACAGCGATCCAGCTCACACTGTCCGCAGCAGCGAGCCCCGCAACGTCCCGCCAACACGGCACCCAGACCCCACGCAGCATTCTCATCTGTTTGTCATTACTGGTGTCATTTTCTGGTTGCTAACACCATTGTAAAACATAATCACTGATGTTCCGCTGTAACGGTGGTGGACTCATCAGAACACAGTGGGCGAGCTGAGCAATCAGAGCACAGTGGGCGAGCTGAGCAATCAGAGCACAGTGGGCTCATAGGGAGGGGGGGCAGGAGCTCCAACAAGCCGTGTAGGACAGAGAGTGAATACACATACTATACAGAGATGCTGTATGAGAAACCAATGTGAGTTTGGAAAATTGAACAATGTAAATCTATTCTAGTAGACCTCAACAATGGAATTATGATCAGTAGAAATGGCCATGACATGGGACCTTTAAACATACACTACAAGTCAAAAGTTTGGACACCTTCTCATTCAAAGTTTTTTATTTATTTTCAAATGTTTCTACATTGTAGATTTATACTGAAGACATCAAAACTATAAAAGAACGCATATGGAATTATCTAGTAAACAAAAAAGTGTTAAAAAATCCAGAATATGATTTATATTTTGCTGGCTACTGCAGAATGCTGTGGTAGCCATGCTGGTTAAGTGTGCCTTGAATTCTGAATACATCACCAACAGTGTCACTAGCAAAGCCCCCCCACACCATCACACCTCCTCCTCCAGGCTTCACGGTGGGAACCGCACATGCAGAAACCTTCCGCTCACCTTCCCTGCATCTCACAAAGACACGGTGGTTGGAACCGAAAATCTCAAATTTGGACTCATCAGATCAAAGTACAGATTTCCACTGTCTAATGTCCAATCCTTGTGTTTCTTGGCCCACACAATTATCCTCTTCTTCTTGTTGTTCATCCTCAGTAGTGGATCTTTGCATCAATCGACCACGAAGGCCTGATTCACGCAGTCTCCTCTGAACAGTGGATGTTGAGATTGTCTGCTACTTGAGCTCTGTGATCATTGATGTGGGCTCTAATCTGAGTGCTTAATTTGCAGTTTCTGAGGCTGGTAACTCTGATGTGTTTATCCTCTGCAGCAGAGGTAACTCTTGCTCTTCCTTTCCCGGGGGGGTCCTCATGAGAGCCAGTTTCATCATAGCGTTTGGTGGTTTTTGCGACTGTATTTGAGGATACAGTCAAAGTTCTTGAGATTTTCCGGATCGACTGGCCTTCATTTCTCAAAGTGATGATGAACAGTCGTTTCTCTTCACTGAGTTGAGTGGTTCTTGCCATATTATGGATTACAACAGTAGTCAAATAGGGCTTTCCACTGTGCACTAACCCTACCTCTGCACAACACAACTGATGGTCTCAAACACATTCAGAAGTAATTCCACAAATGGACTCTTGACAAGGCACACGTGTTCATTGAAAACCATTCCAGGTGACGACCTCATGAAGCTGACTGAGAGAAGCCAAGAGTGTGCAAAGCTGTCATCAAGGCAAAAGGGGGCTGCTCTGAATAATCCAAAATATAAATCCTATTCTGGATTTTGTAACACTTTTTTAGTAACTAGATAATTCCATACGTGTTCTTTCATAGTTTTGATGTCTTCAGTATTAATCTACAAAGTAGAAACAAATACAAAACAAACAAAAACCACTGAATGAGAAGGTGTGTCCAAACTTTTGACTGGTACTGTAGTTTAGTAGATTTTCTTTGTTCTGGGGCATAAAATAATATCTAGCAGAATGTCTACTAGGTTGATTACTTTTTAATAGGTAATACAGGTGTTGTGACAAAATTCTGTCCAGCATAGCTGTATAGATCCTTACCCAACAAACTCCAGCAGCAGAGATACATCCAGCTCAGGAGGGATGGTGAACACAGACGGGGGAATGTTCTCTTTCTTCTGCCTCTTTATGACAACAGGACCTGGAGGCGAGATTACAACTGAAAAGCAGGAGAGGCAAAACACAAGGTAATGGATTGTGTGACAAACTTTCATGTTTTTGATGCTGTTGACAAACCCATGTTTAAAACCCATGTCTGCTTAAATGAACAACGCAATTAGATTAACTTAATACTTCAAAAATCTATTCACAGCAGGAAAAGTAAAGTCCAGAACATTAGATTACCAGGGATGCAAACTCATCAGGTATGAAAAAGGTGACAAGGATCCGAGCCCCCCGAATATCGGCTTTAAAATTAGGAATAGCAGATGATTTTAGCAGTCAGAACAACTAAAGCAGCAGTGTTAATAATAACAGAAACGCCAAAGAGTCACATCTAATAGAAATATATAAAAGCATTTATTTTAATTGTGTAGCAGTCAACTAAGTTAGTTAACTAAGTTCATAAACTCAACAAGTTCTATACTTACAATTTTGAGATACTTGTACTTTACTTAAGTATGTAAATGTTTTGCTACTGTGTACTTCTACTCCTCTACAATTCAGAGGTAAAAGGTGTACTTTTCCTCCACTACATGTATTGCATACCTTTAGTTACTTTACAGATGTGGATGAATGATGTGAAATCTAATGAAGTGTTGAATCAGACTTTAGTTCCACCTGGAGTAAATCCACAAGCTACCCTGCAGTATACAAAGTCATTCAAACTAGCTGCTCCTTTACCAGCTTTGAGAACACTTTCATGATCAATCATTATAAAACATATCATATATATTATTCTGAAATGGACCAATCTGCACAATGATACTTTTACTGTCGCTACTTTAACTATATTTTGATGATAATACTTTTCTACTTTTACTTGAGGAACATTTTGAATGCAGTACTTTTACTGTAACAGAGTATTCCTACACTCTGGTACTTCTACTTTTACTCAAGCTGCTGAAGTTAGACCCTCATCGCGGAGCAGCAGAATTCAGCCGATAGGCAGGAAGATTCGAGCACACAGCTCGCGCCCATTATAATATATAAAAAAATAACACCATGCTCGCGGCCGCAGATTACTCCGGGTCCCAGACCCCCCCCCCCATACCCCAAAAATATTTGTATTGCAGATCTACATGAATAACACAAACTACCTATTTTGGATACAAAACGGCGAATTTCGCCGAAAGGTGACAAGTTTGCATCCCCGATTACAGAAAATCACAAGCTTTTTATCCAACGTTACCCCAAGCCTTCTGATTTTAAACGTTTAAGTTTAAAGAATTACCTGTGTTTGGCACATCCAGCCCTCTCTCCTTGTAGAATTGACACATTTGTTTTCTTTCGGCTGTGGAATAAGAGTTCAAAGAGATAGAGTAGATGAAGACCATCAAAATGATTGTGACTGGTATGTACTGTACTTACACTCCTCCAGGAAGGGAACCATTTTGTAAACAATATCCTGCAGTTGTCTGTCAGGCCTGCAGGAAAACAGAGAAAAAGTGTTCAATAAACAAACTGTTCTTACTTGGAAATAAATGCAACCACATTTCTGAAATTAAATCTGTACCATAACCCTATAATCATTTAAACTCTAAAACATATGGTTGACAGAGATATCTTTATTTTTGGTACAGAAGGTAACACAATTGAACTAATGCATCACATTGACAGACCTACCTGATGTTGTACGTCGGTTGTGTCTGGTGGACTACAGTGCTGCATGTTGGACACCTGTTGTTGTAGAAGAAGTGCTTCACGATGCAGCTTTTGCAAACTTGGAGAAGATAAACACATCAAAATAAAGTCAGGACAGTAGATGGCAAAGAGAGATTAATATGGACTTTTAAAGCTGATATACATATCAATCTTTGAGACCTCAGAACTATAATCTTCGATTTTGAAGATAGTCATCTTTTAAATTCAATGTGTTTGTTAAACAACTGAGACATTCAGTGAATTTAGTAGTTTAAAATGTATCTTTTCAAAGAATATTGATTCACAAACTATAGAGAAACTGTTTCCTCCAATATAACATGTGTTTTGCGTTTCTGTAATGACATTTCTGATAAATGTTGTCTATATTAAGATCAGCTATAACCTGTATCCGCTAAACACAGAATGGTTAAACTGCTCTCTTCTTATGTATTGTGTTGTTGAATCTGATATGCATGGTATAGGAGCATCAATCTAGGAAGGAAATATTGGTATAAGCATCCTGAAAGTTTACTTGCATCGCTAATGAACATATTTCCATTGTTTCCTATGTGTCTATCTGCATCCCAAATAGAGAAACCCTAATTATTGCGATACAGTAAGTGAGGGACATAATGTATTAAATTAACATCCCAGTTCATGTGGATCTCCTGCATCCTCTCAAGGTATTTTGAGGACTCCAGAAACTAAAGTAGACCTCTGGTATAACTTGTTGTCACTCACATGTGTGCAGGCACTCTATGATGGTGGTGGCATCGATGAGGAAGAGGCTGCACAGGGCACAGCGGATATATGGGTAGAATTCACTGAGAGGACGCTTGGGCTGTGTGAGAGTAAGCACCGTGTCAATGTTGCAGCTTGAACATACCTATACAGCGCTACATTTGTTGTCTGCCCCGAAAAACAATAATGAAAAGCAATAGTAAATGTGAACGCACCTCTTCTTCGTCCTCTGAATCGTTTGTTGTCCCTTCATGACTCCAGCGAGGCAACATTCCCAACAGCTGTTTACGACACTAAGTTAGAACGGAAAATAATAAATCTTAAAGATACGAGAGAAGAACTTTAAAATGAAGTGTTTATTTTTTAAGTACGAATTACCTCAAAACGTCGACGTTGTTTGGAGTTCCCTACGAATTAAGCTATGCGTGGCTAGCTGGCTAACGTTAAATACATTTAAATTAATGTGATTGTTAAGAGACACAGCTTGCTAATGTAACCTCAGTTAGCTAGGTTAAACGCCCAGACGCTTGCTAATACTACAAAAGACAACTTAAATACGAAATAAAGCTACTTCTTAACTTTATATACTTTGCTTCGTTATTTACACTCGCGCTAGCGACTCTATTTCCCTCGCGTGTGTGTGACACAAACTGCGGCGGCAACATCATAAATAACTTCCGGTCTTGATCATTCAAAATAAATGAGTTGACAAGAAAAGCAATATTCCATACAAAAGTCAAACAAAGCATGTTTGAAATAACAAGAACAAGTCCATTTGAATTTTTTTCTTATAATCCAGAACATTGAACAAATCTGACACGTTTATTTTGAAGACAAAATTACGTATTTCCAGAGATAGAGACGCACGAGAGCAACGGTTCTCCTATGATCTTGCCAGCAGGGTTCGCTAAAAGCACATAAATACAATCAATAAAATATTAAAAAAAATAAACGTTTCTAGAAAAATAAACGTTTCTAGAAAAACAGACGTTTATTGTTTAGTTCCTGTATTTGTGTATGTATTTATTATTTTCAGTTTTGCTCTTTAAATATATCTTTGTTTTTGTTAGTATCACAATGAGCAAGTTTTGCTTTGAAGTGATTAACCCAAGATGTGACCTCACTTGACCACCAGAGTTGGTCTGTCACTGAAACAGCTTAGGCTACTGAAACAGGAGAAGTGTATGCAGATCCAGATAAGAGGAAAACAAAACAAAGAAAACAGCAAAGATGTTGCAGTAAGTGTCAAAAACAAATGTTTTAAAGTGTAAAATATATGCCCAACCTATTAGCTTTGATTTGGAAAAATGCATTAACTAATTTTTTACTATTAGTATTGAACACATTGCATGGGTCGTCCATAATGGACCACAAGCTGTCAATCATCTACTTTGTGTACATATATATAGTATAATATTTCCCATATGCGAATGTTTTGAGCAAACAAAACAACAATCTTACAAATTATTTAGAGCTCTACAGTTAGTCACGGTGAATTTGGTGTGAAATGTTGCAGTGACATGCCCACCAGCGTAAGGACATCCCATAACAGACAACCCCAGCATGTCTAAGCAACAAATACATTCCATCAGGACAATATTTAAATCATGCTGTTTATGAAAGAGGAGAAACTCCATCTCAATTATTAGTGGATTTATGCTCCAGCAGATCAAAATCCAAAAAAGCATAAAAGGGCCCATTTACCTTTGTTCCCAACTCTTTAACTATTATCAACATCAACATCAGAAATTCAACTTTTTCTAAAAATCTCAAATATATTATAAACATTTGATTTAATCCTCCACATTTCAACCTTATTATTAACATTTCGACTTTTTACTTGAAATGCAAAACAAACAAACATCTTCCTGCTAATCTTGTATTCCTTATGCCCTTACAGTATATTGTTCTGTACAAACCTGAGAGGTTTAGATGTTTGCAGTGATGAATCATTCCTCTCCATTTATGATAAATCTCTTTATCCTCTAACGGTTCGCTCCACTAGGCATAATCAGGCTGTTTCTGTGCAGAACACTAAATGCTCAATCATATCTAGGACTAGTGGTTAACTTATTTACTTTTAAGAGATTTATTTTTGAGGTGCCAAGTACTCTCCATCTGCCAGCGGATGTCTGTGGGAATATAGAATTTACCACATTTGTTGTGCTTTGGGGAATCAAATGAGATTTCCTCCTCTTAATGTTAAGTGTGGCTTTTCAAGTCATGCAGTTAGATTATATCAATAATGCAAGATCTTAATCTTTGAAAACCTTCCATGGTACATTTGTGTTATTTTGCAAATACCCTGATGTCATTATGAATAGGGGATTTCCAGACGTTTGTTCAATGTGTGTAATAGTGTTGTGTTGTCTGTGTGGTAAAACATTTTGCGGTCAGGTTAGCTGTTAGTGACATCATAAAGAACTCCACTAAACACCAGCAGTCACGTTTCAGAATGCAGCCATTTACACGACCGGAGAAGAAGTCAACCTTGCAGGAATCAATATTTTTGATGATGTTACTTGGTTGTTTAGTGTCAAGTATTCTTCGGTTTTCTTTAAAAAACCTGTACTTGACATACAGTATCTTCAAAAAGAGTGTGTGTGTGTGTGTGTGTGTGTGTGTGTGTGTGTGTGTGTGTGTGTGTGTGTGTGTGGTGATTGCTAATGTCAGCATGCTAACATGCTTAAAAATACAATGCTAACATGATGACCTTTGGCATCTTTGCTTAGCAAGTTAGCATGTTAACAATTGCTAGTTGGTTCTTTACACACAGTATAACTGAGTCTAATTTTAAAAGTACTTGATCAACCAGACTATTCAATAAATTATAGATTTGACCTGAGGATAGCACTGGAGAAATTGTTTAGCGGTCACACAAGTTATTACAGTTCATCATTTGGTGAAAATTGACATATGTGCCAAAGTAAATGCAAATATATCTAATAGTTGCCAATTAATTTCACACACAAAAAATCCCCCCTGATGGTGGCACTACATGAGGTCAGTGGAAGTCTACAGAGCGCAGCAGGTATGACATTTTGCAGGCCGACATTGGAAGTTAACATTGCGCTGGTTATCAGAAGCAAAAAGCTAATGTTATGCTATAAACCAACTAGACCACAGAGTCACATGACTTCATGGCTCCACCGCTCCACTACTAAACTGAACGCGGACTCATGCTCGCTTGACACGAAACAACCAGAAGTGCAACATTTGCTAGCTA